ATGAAAGAGAAATCTCATGAAGCTGAGCCGTTTGTTAAGGGCGGGAGTTTTGCAGCCAGCACGCCTTGACCGACCCCGGGGGTTGGGATGTGTTTGTCTGTGCACTTCATGCCTCCGGTGGGGCAGAAGGGGGAAGCATGTGTCTCAAGCGCTAGACTGCGATCTTCTGGGCACAGTTGGGTACCGAACACTGACACAAGACCATCGCCAAGCCCTACTATGCAAACCTGAACTCTGAACTTGCAAGTCCCAGATTCCAAGCAAAACGGGTAGTTCCTGCACTCCGAGCCCTAGGAAACGTTTCGTCTTGTTAAGTGGGCTTCGAAGAGTGAACCACAAGCGCTGCAAACGCAAGCATCGCACGAGCATCCTGACACCCTGGGCCAAGCTCCTCTGCCGCTTTTTTGCTGCTGGCCGCGCAGGGCCTTCCTGCAGTCAGTGTCCCAGAAGATTAATATGATTTTTGGGTCTGGTTTGTCTTGCCTCCCGTATTACAACATGGCTGGGTCCGCTAGGTAGGGTTGCCACGATGCGTCAGCTGTAAGTTCAACATGTCTTGCTGTACAACCGAGTGCAACAGAACGAACACAAGGCCCTCACACTTCGGATTGTGATTCAACTTCCTTTCCCAACTGCATAGGAGGCAGTTCTACATCGGGGTTCCCTGTTGGGCTTTCTGCTGCATCACACTATTCACCATTTCTTAAAGTCGCACATACTGCGGAACCCTGGTGGCAATGTGTAGAATTACCGTCAACGCAAGGCAGCCCGACGAGTGCTCTCACGTACAACTGCCGAAGTATATGGGCTTGAAAACTACTCATAGGCTCCATTGTAGTTCCTTTTTGGGGTTGCCTTATAGAACCCCTAATATATAATTCGTTAAACCCCAAAAGAAGGAACTACAATGGAGACTAGAGGTAGATCTCTCCCTGCGTACACTGAAGCTTGACACCATCAGGCCAGGGGTCTCAAGGATCTCGAGGTTTCGAAAGCCCTAACCCTCCAGGTACCTACTATATAGGGCCCTAGATGGGGCACTGGTACCCTATGTAGTAGGTACCTGGGGGGTCAGGGAAGAGTAGCCGAAACCTGCAGCTAAACTACGCCCAGCCGGTTTGGAGTTTTGAGGGTTACGGCGCAAATGAGAGAAAAGGGTCCATGGAGCGTTGTTTTACCAGGCATAGCAATCATAAGCTATTGGCAGCCATGACCAAGAAGTAAAGTGGCATGTGCCAGGTTGGGCTTCTGACCCCGGACCCCTAACCCACCCAAACCATAAACCCCTAAACCCCTATAATCCTAGAACCCAAATCTCGTATAAACCCTACCCTCAACCAAACCCTGCCTAACCCATATCAAGTTCACCGAGCCGGGGAGTGCCTTGACCTCGGCAACGCCTACTGCCGCCAGCTGCGTCAGGACCTGGAGTGCCCATGCCAATCTCGGGGTTTTGGGGTTTCGGCTCTCACACTCGGACAATCCAGGCGAGGCGAATGATGAGTCAATGTCCAAGTGAAACAACTGCAACAAGACGAGCCCTAAAGATAGGGAACCTGTAAGAGGCTTCGAATCGCATGTGCCAACCAAAGTCTGCGTCATTACTGTAACTAGTTCGCAGACTTCAGTCACTACGCCGAGGAGGCAATAAAGGGGCAAAGGTGAGCATATGGGGCCATAAAGGTCATGTTGAGCCGGGAGGGCTCAGGT